GATTTTCATTTGGAAAGGGGTTAAAAAATTTAAGGGGCCAGTTGCTTGGGCCAGGCTTTTTAAAACCTTTCCAAGGGCTCTTTGTTTGTCCCGGTTTTTGTGTGTGTGGTGTGTGTGTGTGTAAAATCAGTGCAAAAAATTTTAAAATTGAGAAAAGGAAAATTTTTTCATTTTTTTATAGCAAAAAACTAAAATAAAATTAAATTAGATGAACTTTCTAAAACCTTTCCCCCTTATTAATCCCCCCGAACCGGGAGGGCTGGCGAGTATTTTACCAAAAGGTTTCCCCGGGAAAAATCCCCAAACAAAATAGTAGACGGGAAATATATGCCCAAAAATTGATAATTAAAAAACCAGCTGTAAAGGGGACAATAAAAATACCTGTAACATTATCACCCGCTTTTTCCCAAAAAAAGAATGTTCCCTTTAATTTTTTTTCAGCCCAAATTAATAACAAAATTTTTGGGCCCGCTAAATAAAAACACAAAATAAATAAAATTTAAGCTATTTCCAATTTTTACTTTCATATAATTAAAATGAAACATACTTTAAAGTAAAGCAAAAAGAAAAAAAGTCTCAGGCCCACTTTAATACGGGGATGTTTATTTAAAAAATGTCATTTAAAAATGATAATGCTGACCTCATTTTAAAAAAATTCAAATTTTTATATACAGGTATCAAAACAAATTACAAAATACTGTACTGCCAAAAAAACAATACCTTTTTATCCAAAAAATTTAAAAAATTTATCCATTTTTAAAAATTTCCCCTGATATAGAGTTTGAATTTTATTATTGCTAATTTTTGCACCATACTTTAGTGTGCACCAAAAAAGTCCAAAAATTTTTTTTAAAACTAATAAAAAATTAAAATTTTTAGCGATTTGGTGAACAAATGCTTTGTTGATCCTTTTTGTTATATGCACCCCGTGTAAATTTTTTAAATTCTTGAAAGTTTACACATTTAAATGTAAAATTAAGTACAAAACCTAACCAAGTTTAAATGTTTCCCCTTTCCCCCACCCAAAAGTACTTTGGGGAGTGAAAAACTTCAGAACATCTTGGCATGGTCAATCCTCCTCAAGGAAAAATAATCTATTAAATAATAAAAAGACCTATTTTTATTTTCACCCTTCCTTTAAAAACCCAAAAACCTGGGGGAATCATTAAAAACCCCGAATATTTGAGGGGAAAACTAAATTGTGTTAAAACAGTTAAACTTTTTTTCAAAAAAAAAATTTTTCATAGAAAAAGCTGCCAGTACCTAAAAAAAATTTAAGAATTTTTTATTCTTTTTGGCCAAACAAATTTTATCAATACAGCAAACAGGCCCAAAAATTTTTAAATCAATCAAAAAATTTCAGTCTTTAAACCCAAATACTAGACTATTCCCCAAAGCTAATGGCTCTTGTAGGGTTTTATTGTCATACAGCTAGAAACAGTCGACATCCTGAATGACAAAGGATGTGTTGAAACTATCTCAAACTACTTCCTGGGCTGCTGGATTGATGGGGGTTTGCTGGGTTTTGGGGGAAAAAGTACTTCATGAGTGGGTAATGGTTTTTCCCCATGAGTGTGCTTGACTGCTCTGGGGGGGGGGAAATCTCTCCTAAATTTCCCAATACACCCGACACCACTACTGGGGCTCTTTGGGGGACTGTTACAAAATATAGCATTAAAATTAGGCAAAAAAACAAAATTTATTGTTTTAAAAAAGGAATTTTTTTAAAATTTAAAAAAATAAAAAATGCAAAGTTACTAATTTAAAAAATTTTTTATATAATAAAATTTTAAATTTAAAACCCCTTTGGGCTGTTCCCCCCAAAAAAAAAGTCCCAATCCTGAAAATGTCTCCTGGTTTTTGCAAAATATTCGAAAAAAAAAAAATTTTTTTTTCTTTGAAAATGTTAAGATTATTTTTCTGAATTTTTTTGGGCCAAAAAAAAAAAATTTTTTTTGCCATTTATTTCTTACCCCAGATTAAAAGAGATTGAAATTTGGGAGAAAAATGAACCCCCCGAAACAAAAAGGGGCAACTGCCGCTCCAAACCCGGGAAACCTTTTGGGTTTTCTTTTATTTGAAGGGGTTTTTTTTTTTTTTTCACTGTTTTTATTTTTTCACAAAACTTTTTGGGCCTGTGAGACCCAAAGTATGGGCAATGTTCATATATACACTTGTTGAATTTAACACCCAAAAATAGCAAAAACACTAGGATCATGTTTAAAAAAAATTTTTTTTCACAAACAATATAAAAAAAAAATTATTACATAGTTCTAATAATATACTATATCACAAATATACAATCATGGACACTTTTCTAGAAACTGAGAAGCTTGTGGCATACTTTAAAAACAATGGTAATAAGCACAAGCATTACACATCTCACGCAAAAAACGAGGTCTCTGCGTTTTGTGGTGTTTTGTGGTATGTCCACAGACAAAACACCTCTTCTGAGCATTTTTCTTGAGAGCAGCAGCAGGCAGTGGTATGGTAGTGATCACCAGCAGCCTCAGAGAGGGCATGAGTTGCAAAAATTTCGAGGCACTGTCTAATTGCAAGTGTGATTACCTAGGTAATAAAATAACAAAAAAAAGGGCACAAATACGTGATGGAACGATACACAAAAATAAACACCACACATAGAAGAGAGGAGCTTATGACAATGGACATTTCGATCCAGCAATGGACGCATTCACAAAGTCACACTAACAGAAGTGGAGCAGGCAGAACGGGTGTGTGTATATATATATATAATATATATAGAGAGAAGAGAGAGAGAGAGAGACAAGGAGAAGGAAGAAGCAGCAGAAAGAAGAAGAAGAAGAGCAGAAGAAGAAGAAAAGCAGCACAGCAGAAGCAGAAGAAAAAGAAGAAGATGAGCAGCAGCAAAAGAAGGAAGAAGAAGCAGCAGCAGCAAAAGAAGAAGAAGAAGCAGCAGGCAAGCAAAAGAAGAAGAAGAAGCCAGCTGAGCAGCAAAAGAAGAAGAAGAAGCAGCAGCAGCAAAAGAAATGAAGCAGCAGCAGCAAAAGAAGAAGAAGAAGCAGCAGCAGCAAAAGAAGAAGAAGAAGCAAGCAGCAGCAAAAGAAGAAGAAGCAGCAAAAGAAGAAAGAAGCAGCAGCAGCAGCAAAAAGAAGAAGAGAAGCAGCACGCAGCAAAAAGAAGAAGAAGAAGCAGCAGCAGCAAAAGAAGAAGAAGAAGCAGCAAAAGAAGAAGAAGCAGCAAAAGAAGAAGAAAGAAGCAGCAGAGAGAAAAGAAGAAGAAGCAGCAAAAGAAGAAGCAGCAAAGCAGGGCAGCACAAAGAAGAAGAACAGCAGCAAAAGAAGAAAGACAGCAAAAAGAAAAGCAGCAAGCAGCGCAAAAGAAGAAGAAGAAGAAGCAGCAGCAGCAAAAGAAGAAGAAGAAGAAGCAGCAAAAGAAGAAGAAGAAGCAAGCAGCAAAAGAGAAGAAGAAGAAGAGACAGCAGCAAAAGAAGAAGAAGAAGCAGCAGCAGCAAAAGAAGAAGAAGAAAAAAGCAGCAGCAGCAAAAGAGAAGAAGCAGCAAAAGAAGAAGAAGAAGCAGCAAGCAGCAAAGAAGAAAAGAAGCAGCAGCAGCCAAAAGAAGAAGAAGAAGCAGCAGCAGCAAAAAAGAAGAAAGAAGAAGCAGCAAAAGAAGAAGAAGAAGCAGCAAAAGAAGAAGAAGAAGCAGCAAAAGAAGAAGAAGAAGCAGCAAAGAGAAGAAGCAGCAGCAGCAAAGAGAAGAAAAAGCAGCAAAAGAAGAAGCAGCAGCAGCAGCAAAAAAGAAGAAGAAGAAGCAGCAGCAGCAAAAGAAAGAAGAAGAAGAAGAGAAGCAGCAAAAGAAAGAAGAAGCAGCAGCAAAAGAAGAAGAAGCAGCAGCAGCAGCAGCAAAAAGAAGAAGAAGCAGCAGCAGCAAAAGAAGAAGAAGAAGAAGAAGCAGCAAAAGAGAAGAAGAAGCAGCAGCAGCAAAAGAAGAAAAGAAGCAGCAAAAGAAGAAGAAAGCAGCAGCAGCAGCAAAAGAAGAAGAAGAAGCAGCAGCAGCAAAAGAAGAAGAAGAAGCAGCAGCAAGCAAAAGAAGAAGAAGAAGCAGCAAAAAGAAGAAGAAGAGCAGCAGCGCAAAAGAAGAAGAAGCAGCACAAAGAAGAAGAAGCAGCAGCAGCAGCAAAAAGAAGAAGAAGAAGCAGCAGCAGCAAAAGAAGAAGAAGCAGCAGCAGCAAAAGAAGAAGAAGCAGCAGCAGCAAAAGAAGAAGAAGAAGCAGCAGCAGCCAAAAGAAGAAGAAAGAAGAGCAAGCAGCAGCAAAGAAGAAGAAGAAGCAGCAGCAGCAAAGAAGAAGAAGAGAAGCAAAGACAGCAAAAGAAGAAGAAGAAGCAGCAGCAGCAAAAGAAGAAGAAGAAGCAGCAGCAGCAAAAGAAGAAGAAGAAGCAGCAGCAGCAAAAGAAGAAGAAGAAGAAGCAGCAGCAGCAAAAGAAGAAGAAGAAGAAGCAGCAGCAGCAAAAGAAGAAGAAGAAGCAGCAGCAGCAAAAGAAGAGAAGAAAGAAGAGCAGCAGCAAAAGAAGAAGAAGAAGCAGCAGCAGCAAAAGAAGAAGAAGGAAAGCAAGCGCAGCAAAAGAAGAAAGAAGAAGCAGCAGCAGCAGCAAAAGAAGAAGAAGCAGAGCAGCAGCAAAAGAAGAAGAAGACAGCAGCAGCAGAAAAGAAGAAGAAGCAGCAGCAGCAGCAAAAGAAGAAGAAGAGAGCAGCAGCAAAAAAGAAGAAGAAGCAGCAAGCAGCAAGCAAAAGAAGAAAAGAAGAAGAAGAAGAGAAAAGAAGAAGAAGAAGAAGAAAGAAAAGAAGAGAAGCAAAAGAAAGAAGAAGAAGAAGAAGAAGAAGAAGAGAAAAGAAGAAGAAGAAGAAGAGAAAGAGAGAAGAAAGAAGCAAGAAAGAAGAAGAAGAAGAAGCAGCAGCAGCAGCAGAGCAGCAAGCAGAAGAAGCAGAAAGCAGCAGCAGCAGCAGCAGCAAGCAAGCAGCAGCAGCAGCAGCAGCAGCAGCAGTCAGCACAGCAGCAGCAGCAGCAGCAGCAGCAGCAGCAGCAGCAGCAGCAGCAGCAGAAGCAGCAGGCAGACAGCAGCAGCAGCAGCAGCAGCAGCAGCAGAAGCAGCAGCAGCAAGACAGCAGCAGCAGCAGCAGCAGCAGCAGCAGCAGCAGCAGCAGCAGCAGCAGCAGCAGCAGCAGCAGCAAGCAGCAGCAGCAGCAAGCAGCAGCACAGCAGCAGCAGCAGCAGCAGCAGCAGCAGCAGCAGCAGCAGCAAGCAGCAGCAGCAGCAGCAAGCAGCAGCAGCAGCAGCAGCAACAGCAGCAGCAGCAGCAGCAGCAGCAGCAGCAGCAGCAGCAGCAGCAGCAGCAGCAGCAGCAGCAGCAGCAGCAGCAGCAGCAGCAGCAGCAGCAGCAGAGAAGCAGCAGCAGCAGAAGCAGCAGCAGCAAAAGCAGCAGCAGCAAAAGCAGCAGCAGCAGCAGGAGGAGGAGGAGGTCATCATAGTAGTAGTAGTAGCAGTGGGGAATTAAGGAGGAGGAGCCAGTCAAATACAAGGAAAGGGGAGCACTGCAAGGGAGCTAGGTGCCCACAGAGGGAGAGCAAGTGCACAGAGGTGGGGGGAAAGGGGAAGTGAAAAAATAAATAATGAAGGAACAGAAATGTGAGACAGAAGAAAGACAACCCAGAGGAGAAAAAAGGAAAGAGGAAAGGGGAAGAGGGAGAAGAAGAAAAAATGAGGAATCAGGTTAAGTCACGGGTGTTCTGAAGTTTGGAGCATTTTACAATGTAGTGGGAGAGGAAGGCATCTACAGAGACGAAGCCAGGACTAAGATTCATACAAGGAAAGTTGTGTATTAGAGAGGATTCAACTAAACAGCGACTGTTAGAGTTGGAAGTAGGGAAGACAGCTTTAGTGGAAGACCAGCCAATAGGATGGCTGTGATCTCTGACGTGACAGAAGAGAGCATTGTTAGTGTCGGCTAGCCTAACACTATTTTTGTGTTCCCTAAGTCTGTCAGAAAGAGATCGACCAGTTTCTCCAAAGAATTAAAGAGGACAGGAGGAACAAGAAATAGAGTAGACACCAGGAACATCTGTAGAGGGAGGAGAGGTATGAACGAGATTAGTGCGAAGAGTGTTAGTCTGGCGGAAAGTAAGTTTGATGTCTAAGGACGAGAGAATTGTTGAGATTAGAAAGACCGGAAATGTAGGGAAGGCAGAGGACAGAAGAGTTCCCAGGAGTAGAGAGTTTGGGAGAGAAGAATATTACTTGTCTGATGACTGACAAACAAAATTCACCAAACATTGTCCTATAAAAACGAAACAGATCACAAACAAATGGCTTGGTTGCCCTTGGCTAACCAGCACCATTCTGAAATCCATTGATAAGAAACACCAATATGAAAAGCAATATAGACAGGGCTTAATACACAAAGATATTCTTAAACACTCTTCATCAGTCCTCACCAAAGTAATAAAGAAAGCCAAACAACTATACTACAGTAGATTCACTGACACAAGAGGAGATAAAAAAAGACCTGGAAAACACTCTCTCAGATTCTAGGGACCCACAAACTGAAAAAAACCAAGAATATTGTCCTAACTAAACTTAATGAAACACCACTGCATCCCAATGACACAGCTAACAAGATAAACGACTTCTTCTCAACCATAGGTTCTAATCTCGCCAATAAAATCCCACGTACCAATGCCCATGCCGGGGACTACCTAGATGGGAATTTCCCAAATTCCTTCTATCTTGCTCCAACTGAGCCCACGGAAGTCACCGAGATTATAAAGTCACTTAAAAATAACTCAGGGAATCTGTCTCGTGTCCCACCATTATTGTACAAGAGAGCGCCCATGTCCTCTCGCATGCTATCTCATTACTTTTTAACAAGTCACTAGAACTAGCACCTTCCGAAATACCAGACGCAGTTCACCAATACATAAGGTGGTGACCCTACAGGTTTAAACACTTAGGCAATACAACTTAACCATGCTATCCAACAATTTCGAGAAACTCGTGCACAGGGCTATTTCATTTATAACGCAAAACATACTCAACCCTGCCAATTGGATTCAGAAATTAAAAGACTAACGATGCAATCAAAAGAATGCTAGATCTGCTTTACAAGCATTGGAAAATAAATACTCACTAGCAATTTTTATTGACCTAAGGAAAGTTTTGACACAGTAACCACACAATCATCATCACAAAACTTGACTTATGTAAAGAGCCATCGCTTGCATATTTCAATCTTACCTTATAATAGGTATCAGTATTTATTTTTATTTTTATTATCACACGGCCGATTCCACCAAGGCAGTTGGCCCGAAAAGAAAAACTTTCACCATCATCACTCCATCACTGTCTTGCCAGAAGGGTGCTTACACTACAGTTTTAAACTGCAACATAACACCCCCTTCAGAGGCAGGCACTGACTTCCCTATCTCAGGAACTCAAGTCCGGCCTGCCGGTTTCCTGAATCCGTGAATCCAACTACAACCATTAAAGACACAGCATCAACAACACAGCCACTTGATACTGGAGTTCTGCAGGGAAGTGTCCTTGGTCCCCTGCTCTTCCTCATATACATCAATGATCTTCCAAACGTATCTCAACACCTGAACCCCATTCTCTTTGCTGACGACACGACTTATGTCATCTCTCACCCTAATCTTGCCACCCTCAACACCATTGTTAATGAGGAGCTGATCAAAATATCGACTTGGATGACAGCCAATAAACTTACACTTAACACTGACAAAGCCTACTACATTATGTTTGGTAGCAGAGCAGGAGATGCGCAAATTAACATTAAGATCGACAACACTCTAACTGCCAGGCATAATGAGGGCAAATTCCTAGGCCTATACCTCGACAACATACCTGAACTTAAGCACCCATATCCAACACATAACCAAAAAAAGTATCCAAAACGGTTGGGATCCTCTCCAAGATAAGATACTACGTGCCGCAAACTGCCCTTCTCACACTATACCATTCATTTATATATCCATACCTCACCTATGCTATCTGTGCTTGGGGTTCAACTGCAGCAACACACCTAAAGCCAATAATAACCCAATAAAAAGCCGCAGTAAGAATAATCAATAAATCCCATCCCTGGCAACACCCCACCCCCACTCTTCATTAGATCTAAACTTACTCCCTGTTCAGTACATCCACACTTACTACTGTGCAATCTACATCTACAGGACCTTAAATTCCAATATTAACCTTGACCTAAAATGCTTTCTTGATAGTTGTGACAGAACCCACAGGCACAACACCAGACACAAATCTCTATGACATTCCCCGTGTCCGACTAAACCTTTACAAAAATTCAATGTATGTCAAAGGCCCTAAAATCTGGAACACCCTACCTGAAAATGCTAAAACTGCAGACACATTCATCACCTTCAAAACTACCATCAGAAAACATCTTATCTCCCTGATACACCCTGTCAACTAATTACACGAATACTACCTGGTGGTTCACACTTACACTCACTCACCCATTTGACCATAAACAGAAATATCAATCTCAATCTCAAAATAATGAATCTTAACTAGTCATAAGTTGGCCTGTGATACTCCAATACTGAAACTATGTATAGTGCCAAAACAAAAGCATTCACATTGCTAAACTCACAAACTAGTATTTAGTCACTTAGCCATAATACCAACTTACCTCATAATTTTGTAATTATTTTAAACTTAAGATTTAATCTAAGTCTGCCCGAAATGCCTAGCCATGCTAGGTGTTCTAGTGGTACACTCTGTAATTATTATTTTACTACATGCAAACCACACAATAACCAAATTCTGTAAACTCAGCATTGTAATCCTTATAGAGAATAAACTTGAATTTGAATATGTGGGTTTGTTGTTGGTCTTCAACTTATACATATTATAAAGCATTCAGCATGGAAATGTCAAAGAAGATGGAAAAAGAGTTTTATGTACCACTTATAACTCTTGCAAACACAATCAGCAAACCAATCTGCATGTCACATTTGTCCACTAAGTGCATATTGAGGTTGTAATCCATCACAGCTGCAGGTTGTACAGTGGGTTCATTGGTCTCTCGATTCTGCTTGCCAGTGTTTATCATTTCGTGTTGGTGAACTGATGTCAACAGTGTGACATCACGTTTGTCATGCCACCGAAATGCCATGATGTCATTGGCAGCAAACACCTGCACCTCACCTCTACGAGTGCCAGGGTCGAACCTAGGCATATGCTTATGATTTCCACACACCGTGCCACACACATCTGTCATGTTCACTCGCAAGAAATCACTGAGTAAAGGGCTTGTGTACCAGTTGTCAGTATATAAAATATGCCCCTTACCAAGATATGGTTCCATCATTGTTCTAACCACATCACCAGAGATACCCAGTAACTTCCTGGTATCTTGCAATGTTTTACTGCCAGTGTACACAATTATATCCAAAACCAGACCACTTTTGCAATCACACAGTACAAATAACTTTATACCAAAGCATTTCCTCTTGCTTGGTATGTACTGCTTGAATGAGAGTCTTCCTTTGAACAAAATCAAAGACTCATCAATAACAAGCTTCCTGAAGGGATAAAAATACATACAGCACTTTTGTTTCAGGTACATAAACAAATTTCTGATCTTATATAACTTGTTGCTTCTGTCAGGTCTGGTTCTGTCTGAAAAGTGTAGCATATGTAACAGTAGCACAAATCTATTCACTGGTATAATGTCACTGAAAGCTGGGGTTGAAATCAGGTAGTCTGTCAACCAGTATGTGTTGACACTGTGCTTATACACATGTGGCATAAGCATTACTGTGGCAAAGAACAGACACATCTCTGCCACAGTTGTGCCCTTCCCCTGGTGTAGGCGTGATCTTGGCTAAAGAATTGTTTGCCATGGTGTACTCAAAGTATGTATTGCTTTCCCTTACAATAAAGTCCATCAGGGGTTCATCGAAGAACAACTGAAAGCATTCCAGTTCAGTGGCATTGTTCCAAAGTGTACATGATGGCCGTATTCCACTGTGTTTCATCAAAGTCATGGGGACTTGGAACAAACTCGTCACCTTGCTGCCAATCCCAGATGCGGTCAGCTGGTTGATTCTGGATATTGAAATGTGGTTGTGGATGCTGTGGGAGTGTGGGGTTGGGTAAGGCTGGTTGTGGTTGTGCAGAGTCAGCAGCGTCGGTAATAGCGTGGCCCACTGCTGGTGCCACATGACTAATGCCACCATCACTATCACCACCACCACCTGCTGCCTCACTCACATCATTCATACCCATCATAACAATATCGTCATCTTCACTATCAGTTCGTGGTGTAGGGCCACAGGATGTGCCCTGAGATTTACTCCTTACCCTTGGAACAGCATATGACACACTACCAGAACGCATGCTACATCGTATATACTGCCGCTTTACTGGGGAATATTCACCCTCACTGTTGCAACTAGAACTGCTTTCAATAGCTTT